TATACCCAGACCCGTGATGCTCTTTATGGTTCCTTTCCAATGAGCAAGAACTATCTGAAGATCATCAGACAACACAGGAAACCATTTGACAACATATTTGGATATGAAATCAGAAAATATTTCAGAGAAAAGTGTCTGAATTTTTTGACAGATCAAAAGACTGTAATCTTCTAATGTGGAGGGGTCTTTTATTCTGGAAGATTAGGGTGTTTATGTTGTTGAAGATAGACTCTGTATTAGTATATGATGTGAGAAGCAGAGACATACGCCACCCCCGCAGAGGCGGCCGCTCCACTCGGAGAACTTTGAGAGCGGTGTGAATGCGGCTGCTTCGTGCCCCTTCTCTTTCGATGTGGCGACTGTGCGGTTGCAGTTTAGCCATGTTAGTAGTTAAAACTTTTTGAAGTTGAAAATGAAAGAGCTAAGCCGATTTCAAAGTCTTGCAGCAACATTTGTGTCCCTTTTGTATAAAACAAAAAAAAAACAAAGCAATATCAACCTAGTACTCATTCTTAAAAAAAGAGCAAAATGTCATTTTTAAATTCCATTATCAAAGGTTTTTAATTGTCACAAAAGTTACTTTAATAATACATGTTTCAGGCTCTTCCAACATTCAGGAAAAAAATGCCACAAAGAACCAAAGAGTTTTGTACACGATGGGTAACTTAAAAAATATTTCAAAAAGTGAAACGAAGTGCAAACCTTTAAAAAAATTCTAGACTTTTAAAAAGTCTTTTCGAAGATTTCTTACATTCTTACGAAACCTTGGAGAAGTTTCGAATGTGTTTCAACGTATGTTCCTTATAGCACTATTTTTTTCGGTATGTAACATTCTGTAGCAATGTTTACCTAGACAGAAGCGCTAATCATGTAGGTCGATTCATTTCAAACGAAAACTGTAATAGTTGATACTTGAGTTTTGCCTTTTTCTCACGTTGAAAGTTAATATTTGTGAAGATTGCAATTTGGAATGTTTTTAAACAAATACACCCTATACAGCAGAACGAGATTAACTCATTGGCAGGCTCTTTTTTTACGAGATGTCGTTAGCTCTATTAGTTCATGTTGATAGTCATGAATTAAAGATATAACTTAAATTGTAATACATGTTCATCAAAATTTAATCTGATATCAGATATTAATCACTCGCAAATTTTTTTGAATTGCGCCAAAGTGAGCATGAATCAGGATTTTCCGTTTTTTTATTTTTCTGTACGTGGAATGTACTCAAAATGTAGAATCTGACAATGTGTTGTTAAAACTTCAAAGTTGTAGAGCCAACAGTTTTCTACAAGATAAGACGTCGGGGACGTTTTTACCACTTACGGTTCCAGTTTTATTGAAGTTTAAAGCCGAGCCCCGACCGAGACCGAATCCTGGATTCCCAGTGTCGTTCTCAGACAGGAATTTCCCGAAGATTGCAATAAAAATTGAACCATAAGTGGGAAAAACGTCCCCAACGTCTTATCTTGTAGAAGAATCTTTCCTCCACGATGTTACACACCCAAAAACATTTTTGTGGACTTTTCCTTTCGGCGCTTCCTTTTATTTCTAAAAAACCGAGAAAAACTGAGTTTTCATTCCAGGTGCATGCCTACACCAGAGCGAGCTCAAAACTTAAATATCATTTCAAATTAAGTTTGTCCGAATTCAAGTGTATACATAATTGATAGGAAACCAATGCTATACCAAAATCAACGTTTTTAGGTGCAGCTCAATTTTAGTCAATGTAACTTCATGCTACTATTAATGTCATATTGTTGCTCATACGTAAGTGATACGAAAGGAGACACTACTTATTCAAAAAACTTTGTTCAAAAAATCTCTGAAAAAAATTCTTTAATAAGCGTCGAGCTGGCAGCAGTGCGGATGGACCGCACCACTAACTTGACGAGATGAGGAGCGGCCGCCTCACTCGTCGAAAAGATTTTTGGGAGTGGTGACCGTCGCCGGCATTGTCTTAAAGCTTATGTCATCTTTTCCGCGGTCGGCACCTCACTTTTTAGGCGCGATCCACGTCCCTGGTAAGAAGGACAGCTGATGCTAGCGTGGCGAAAGTTGATTTGATGATCTTGTTCAGGGTCAAGTTTTTGTATTAATTATACAAAATCGATGTTGGATGGGGGTGGAGGTGTGGCTAAAGAGAAGCACCCCACCCACATTCACACTCACACCTACTATCGTTCATGAGGTCTGTGCAAGAAGAAAAAACTTATCCCGAGTCATTCAAAATGGCTTGAATATGATGGAAATGTCCAAGTAAGTTTTTTCCTCCTTTGGTCAAAACATTCAGTCATATTGTGATCCAACGCTCTTATATCATTGAAGCAATATCAGATGAAGATATGTGGTGCTCTTATTATCGCCAGTGTTGAGGATTTCTATCAATGCCGATTCTTTAGATGTGTGTCGTCAACTAAATCACAATCATTGTTAAAGTTTGGAACACTGAGAATTAAACCAACATAAACTGATTAAAATTTCCGAAATTACATCCAACAGTAACTTTCTGAAGTCGAGATTGGCCTAATTGCTCAAAGGCAGCCCATGGGAAAGGACGGCTTATACTATTGTGCTTAGATCATCGAGTTCTATCTACATTTTCGTATTCGTTTTGGCTACTGTATCTCATCACTCTTGTTAACGGCACTTATTTTAATTAGCAAGAAATGATTTGAATTTTCATTGTTATACGAATTAGAAGAAACTAGGATGATTTCACTGATGACTCCTTGAAAAGATATTTGTATGTTTCTTGTATCGGTCAAATCTGCTTTACCTGGAGCTGAATCTGAAGTAGTAGTACCGCGTTGTGTTGGAAAGGATGATTCGATTAGCATTCGAATTTCTTCTGATTTATGTCTTAACTTTTCATTCGAAGACGATTCATCCGGTATTGATAAACCTTGACTCTTTAAATATTCTGTTAGTTTTCCAATGAGTATCTTGAATTTTTTTGGTGCAATGGAATCGGTTACTTTTTCATCATGTAAACCATTCGACCAACCACTACGTGCAACACAATCTAGAGCTGTTCTCAATGTCTCAGGATTAGAAATACTGACTTCTTTCTGCTTAAATAAATTTTTCAACGGTCTCTCAAAATAATCACGTAAAGCCAAGTATAATGGACTTTGATCATTTTCTAATTGTTCATTGAGGACTTTTGCAGAAATATATTCTTTATAATGTTGAATGCCTTGACGGCCTTCTGTGATCAATGTGTTCCATATCTGATTGAATAAATCATCGTTGTCCATAGTTTCATTATCGAATTCGAATAGAAACTGAAGTGTTAAAGATAATAGAAGATTGTCTTTGATAAATTTCGAACCATATTCTGCGGTTCGTGTCAGTATTTCATCATAGACAACTGTTGATTCTAATGTTTGCTGTCGAAGAAACTTGAGAAACCATTCTTCAGTAATCATTTCTTTCCATTGTTGTTTTACATAAGCTTTTACGATTTCTAGCAGTTCACTTTGCTCGTTACTCATTTGTTTTTTAAATATATTCCGTGATACATCTTGCTCAAAATCTCGTAAAGCTTGTCTTCCTTTAATCATTAATTGTTTAGCAATAATTTCTGAATCAATCGAATCATCTAACTCGAGAACTTGAATTATTTTCGATACACATTCATTTTCCAACGATTTTAATGGATATATTGAAGCGCTTTCGCACTCATTGTGATTCGACTGATTTGAAACTCCAGAATCAAGTGACGTTCGAGATGGCGACAATCGAAAAGATAGATTTGAGTCTTCTCTTTGCATTGCCAATACTTTGAAAGAATGTTAAAGTTGATTGCTTTCGGATATTTAACTAAAATAGAAAAGAAAAAGAAAAAAATCAAATCGATTAATCCTGTTATATTCAATAAAATCTCTGGTCATGTTTCGATAGCACACAACGGCAGGTAAATCCAAAAAGAATATTGCGTCAAAATCGGTTGATCCCTGATCAAGTCAAGATATAGTTCTTGATTCGATAGTTTCTATTATGGTGAAGAGTTTTGAAACTCAGAGGGGAAAAAAAGGGTGTGGGTGGGGGTGTGAGTGTGAGGTGTATGAGTGTGCTATCGAAACA